AATCCAGTTAGCGTAATTTCACGGGTACAGCTGCTAATTAATAAAAGAAATAAAGAATTGCATTTATTCTTTTAAATCACTTAGTTTGTCAATCAGTAACAGGAAGATTTAAAAGAAAAGTTTAATGTCTTACGCTTCGCCAGATAGCAACAAACTGGCTTTGGGGAAGTTAAAAATATTTTATATCCGATATCTCGATAAAGTTTTAAATGTTGTCACACTTTTTTATTCGCAATCTTATCTGTTTAAAAATAATGCATGGTGATAACATTTGGTGGTAATGTTACCGTGAAAGATCGAAATTGGAGAAGGTCGACTTTCATTGGAGAATGTCAACAATCACGAAATACGTCAGTGAAAGATCGAATATTGCATTACATTCTTGTACATTCGGACCCTCATCCATGTATGTCGACAATCACAGATATGCTCTGGTGTAGGTCGAAAAGAGAGGAGTAGACAAAGAGGCGACTGGCTGTTCCCGCCAAATCCTTTATTCTGGTGGGAGTCAATCAGCTTTGTCAGTCTTATGCAAGGTTTGATGGTGCAAGCAACGTTTTCTTATTTTTTTTTTCCGATACCCTAATTTATACTGAATGGATATTGCAGGGAATCGTGATCTTTTTCTTGAAAAGTTAAATGCAATAATTGCGGGTAAACGAGAAGACAATTGTTTTTGTTTTTCTCGAGAAAAGTACTCTAAAATGCTTTCTGAAGTGGTTTCTGCTAAAACTAAGTGCAACACACACCTTTGGATTACAGACGATTCAAACGTGTTTTGTCGTTTTAAAAATTAATGATGAAGAGAAGTTAATTGTACCATTAAAACCAGGAGAAACAAATATACAGTATTATGTTACCAATAAGGTTCAGTATTGTTCAGTATACTATATGAAACTCACACCAGAATAGGCCACGGAGGAAGAACACGTATGCTTAAAGAGTTGCAAATTAAATACAAAAATATTACATAAAGTTGTGATGTTGTATTTAAATTTATGCAAACAGTGTCAATTGAAACACAGTGCAGCTAAGAAAGGTATTGTTCTGAAACCAATAATCAGTTCTGAGTTAAACTCAAGATGTCAAGTTGATCTGATAGATCTGCAATCAAACAGAGATGGCGAATATAAGTTCATAATGGTGTATCAAGATCATTTAACTAAGTTTGTCTAACTACGACCTTTGAAACCTAAGAGAGATGAAGAAGCAACGTATCACGTTCTTGCAATATTTTTAACATTTGGTGCTCCAGCAATATTGCAATCAGATAATGGTAGAGAATTCAGTAATCAAGTCATATCGCGCTATGTGAAAAGAGGTTAAGATAGTTTATGGAAAGCCTCGTCACAGTCAAACACAAGGCTCAGTTGAAAGGGCCAATCAGGATATACAGAATATGCTAACTGCAGGGATGAACGATAACGATACAAATAAATGGACAGAAGGTTTACCCTTTGTTCAATTTGCCAATAACACTACATACCACGAAGGAATACGCCAAAGTCCTTATGGAGCCATGTTTGGCGTTAAAGCAAAAAGAGGCATAGCATCGTCTTTTTTGCCTAGCGGACAAATCGCAAATATCGAAACTGAAAAACAACTCGAAGAATGCCAATACTTTTGAAATCGAAGAACAGCTTGAAGAAACTGATAATACTTCTGAAAAAATTTGAGCGGTAGTCATACCGAAAACCATATTCCAAAGAAAAATATTGAAGAGGAGTTGCAATGTACCACGTCTTCACATCAAATTCTGACTGAAAAACACGAGTTAATTTCTATAAAAAGAGCAGCTGCGAAAGAGAATTTTCAACTGCAAGCAACAAAAATGTTACGAATCTCACAAAAGCAATTTCCTCCTGCTCAAATTGGTGATACTGTATGAATACAAGTCCTTGATGTCGACCATGGTAGTACAGATAACGGAAATGTGTTAGCGGTTGTTGTTGGAATAGAAGACTCTGACTTCTATAAACTTGCACACGAAAATGGTACCCTCAAGCAGCTTTACACACGTAATCAGTTAGTAATTTGTAAAGAAAAGTTACTTTCTATAGATGAGATTTATTTTCAAGTAATGTCGCTGAGAGAAGTAGCTGCAGCTAATTCGAGAAGCGGTGGGCAAGGCTATACACGCTGTCATTGCAAAAGGAAGAGTTCCACAAATAAATGCAGTTGTAAAAGCAAGGGCCTCTTGTGCAATTCAAAGTGTCATAACAGTTTAAGTTGTTGCAATAAATGAGATTTTAATCACATAATTAAGTTTTTTATTACTATTATTTTATTTTCTCATTTAGAACGTACTGTATAATTAAGTAAGTTTTTAACTTTTATTATTTTCCTTTCTCATTTTGAATGTACTGTGCGTTTTAAGTTCTTATGTTCTTAAGTTCTTATTTTAAGTTTCAAGTGCGTTTTTTTGCGACTGAATTACGGAGAAGAAAATATAATATTCTTATATGTTCAACGTTTACCATTAGTACGTGGTGAATGTCGACTTTTACCGTTGTAAGTCAGAAATAAGAGTATTTGGAAAATATTTCGGACATACACCAAGCGACTATGTGAATGTTGACATTCACCGGTGAAAGTCGACATTCTCCAGATTTCGATGTTTCACCGTAAGAGTAACACCTTTTTGTTTATCTTACATGTATATATATTTATTTAACATACATATGTATGCATATTTAATATTTTCGCTCTCTCTCTCTCTATATATATATAATAATAATAATAATAAAGCAGTCAAAAGTGCTTTTTTTTAATTACGAAAGAACCAATAAGTCCAGAATTAGAGCCTTGAGCTGCTGAGTTTTTAGAAAATAATCTTAAATAGTCAAGGAATTTAAAACCTATAAAAAGCTATTTTAATACTTGAAGGTAACCGATTTTTTTTTTCTAGAAATACTCTGTAAAAATAAAATACTTAAGAATAATACAATTTATGAACAAAAAGCGTTTTTTACAACAACGAAAATGAGAAATATTAGAGTACTAAAAACTTTTGTTAATCTCCTTCGTTCAAAGCTTCAAACAGAACTTGTCAAGGAAAAAGTGTTTTGAAGTTTCAAATCAAGTTGATTAACTAGAACTAGACCAACTAAAACATGTTTCGTCCCAACAAATTCACTGAGACTTCAAACGGTAATCGATCGAAAAATTCTTAAGAATATAAACTAACTAACAACATATAATAACAATATAAACTAAATAACAGCTTCTCAGCTCTCTCGGGACCTGTATGCAGCCACAGGCACCTATGTAACAAAGGTGACTGTTTCCAAAAGACTGAATGAGAGAGGGCTGTTTGCCAGAAGACCGGCTGTTTGCGTCCCCGCTCACGTCTACGGACAGGAGAGTCCGATTAGCGTGGTGCAGGCATCCTAATGATTGGAGTACGGATCAATGGAAGACCGTTCTGTTCACCAACGAATCCCGTTTTAGCCTAAACACCGATTCTCGCCGTACTTTCATATGGAGAGAGCCAGGTATCCGCTACCTACCCTCCAATGTCCGCGAAATCAACAATTATGGCGGTAGCGGTGTAATGGTCTGGGCAGGCATCATGTTGGATGGCCACACACCTCTCCACGTCTTTGACAGAGGCTCTGTGACTGGTGTGAGGTATAGGGATGAGGTCTTATAGCCCTATGTTCGCCTTTTCCGAAGTGCAGTGGGCCCCGAGTTCATCTTACAGGATAACGCGAGGCCACATAGAGCTCTTCTGGTCTACGAATTTCTCGAGAGTGAGGATATTCACCGGATGGATTGGCCAGCCAGGTCTCTAGATCTCAACTCTATAGAGCATGTATGGGATGCTCTGGTGAGGGCAATTGCAACTCGCAACCCCCTCCGAGAACCATCCAGGAACTGAAAACAGCGTTGCTGAATGAGTGGGACCAATTGCCACAGGCACTGATAAACTGACTTATTTCCAATAAGACATCACGCTGCGAGGCCTCTATGGCTGTAAGAGGGGACCGTACCCCCTATTAAGCAATTTCTTTTGTGTCTTCTGCAACCACTGTTTCAGACCTTCAGACTCCCATGAGTGTTACACTCGAACTTGTGTGTCTATTATAACTCCTGAATGTTTATTTTGTTTGTATTATATCATGTTTGTATCAACTATGTTCACACCAAATTTTATTAAAATCTGTCCAGTAGTTCTGGAGATCGTAGATCAAATATGAAAATTCTCTTAAATTCTTGCACCAGTGTATATATATTTAACATTCGTTACATTATTTCTTTAAAAATAAAGCATAGTGGAAATATTTTGTGGCAACATCCTCTTATTTGTGTTGCCATACGTTTTTTATATTCGCTATATTATTTCTTTAAAAATAACACATGGCGATAACATTATTGGTGGAAAGTGATAACGACAAAAAGTGAAGTTTGAGACTAGTTGCCCCTCTGGTTCTAAAAATATGAGTACAGATAAGAATGCAATTCATTGGAAATACAGTTCTAATTTTCACTTGTAAAGAAACTGATCTATCTTTCTTTTTCTTATCTTTCACAAAAGGAAGCGCTTGCGGAAAGTTTCCCTTCTCTTCCCTTTACTAACTCTCTTCTTCAAATAATTTATCTTGTTACTCGGATTAACAATGCACTGCACTGATTAGGAGTATAAATAAAGTACCATATTAACATAATTTTTATTTTCTATTTTATCAAGGGGCAAAATTTGTTTGTGAAGTAGAAAAACAGCACTTGCTTTATGCGTTAAAATTAAAAATCAGCTTTTTTTTTTTTTTTTTTTTTTTTTTTTTTTTTTTTTTTTTTTTTTTCCGTTAAAAAAATAAATTCAACGGCGTTGTTAAAAATAATGCTAGAATGTAACTATGTTACTAAAAGAATTTCGAGACTTAACGGTATAGTTGGAAGTATTTCCAAAATTTAACTGTATTGATAAAAGTAATATGTTTACAATACGCATCTTAAAAAGAAAGGAGATGCTTTTAAAATGGAATTTTTTTCCTTTATAGGCTCTGAATGGATTTCTGATGATCCTTACGTGCGATGGAGAAGTCTTTTACACCTCACACACGGTTGAAACGTACCTCGGATTTCACCAAGTAAGATATTTCCTCATCTTTTCTGGACCAATTTAATGTCATTTAAGAACGTGCATTTAATACTATATGATATCTCTACGGTGAGTTTCACAAAAACTGCACGACTTAATACCTTTGGAACGGTTTACTATTCAAATTAAGAAATGTATCAAATAAAGTAATATGATAGTTTTTGTCTTGTGACACCTTTTAAAGACCGTACTTGAAATTAAAATTTTTATAAGGACTAGTGTAAGGGCAGTCAGTAGTTCGTTATCCTGCCCACCAAAGGCTGACAGGTAAAGTGGCTGGATACTGGTAATTCAGTCCGGTTTCGAATCCCGGTAAACGGAGAGGCTGCATGAACGTTTTCGTGGTTTTCGCCGTGTGTAAAGCATATAGGAGCCAGTTTCACTTAGAAAGATCTCCACGAAGGCTTCCCTCGGGCAGGTAACCCTTGAGTGCTTTGCCACAATCAAAACAAAACAAATCATTATCCTATCAAAAATCTTTCAAAAGACGGAGTGCTGATCCTTCTTTAATAATGAAAATTGGCTCTGAAAAAAATTATCTAAATAACAAACATTCAAACATCTTTATATGATCCCAGGTTAGTTTGGGGGTTCACATAAGAGTTTAATGCTGTTAGGTTGATTAACAGCGGCCAATCAACGGCCGTGGTTGATCAGTGGTAGTTTGACCTAGTTTCGAAGCCCGGTAATTGAGCTGGATATGAACAAGTTTTCCCTAGAAAGTCTTTCACGACAATATCCCTTCCTCCGTGAAGGTGGTTTATTTAAGGGCAGGGAGCCGCCGCATCTTTATCGTAATCTAGATCTATACTTATAGGAATTTGAAGCTCCTGCTTCCACAGACCTTTTTTTTTTTATATATATGAGAGGTGTCTTCTAGAAATTTCCAGTTTTATTTAATAACTTCTGAGGTAAATTCAACCAGGTGAAGGTGGGTTTTTTTTTTTTTTTTTTTTTTTTTTTTTATCTTGGAGGGAACACCTTACACGATCACGAAAACATTTGCTCAATGATTGGTTTTTATGGCACTTATAATATTACATATATATTATTATATTATATAAAATATATACATTATTATATATAATTACAATTTTATATAATTTACTGAAAGGTGTCGCATGATGAAAATTAGCAGCGTTTGAAAAGTCGACCTTATTTGAGAAAATGTAAAATTTTCTTGAAACCCGTTATATATTTAATTCAACAGAATCAAAAGATAGGGAGAGATCGTATTATCACAGATAATTTTTGAATTCGCGGAACATAATTACTTTTATGACTATGTAGTGTCCAGGTGGGTTAACTTCTATCTGGATACAGGAGTAACAAGAAACTACACACAAGAAGGGTTCAAACTCTTTAAACTTTACACTGCATCAACTCGACGCTAACAAACTTCGCCTCTACTTGGGCGATAACTGAAAAGCAGGTAATTGAAAATCAAAAGTTGAAATGTTTAACAAGTGCTAAACTAACCTACAGGGCTCAGCGAGATACCGAACTTCGTCCCCCTTCTAAAACTAGTGGCAGCAGATAAATGCATTTAAGCCTCTTAACCCAGCAATTGAACCTACAGCAGAGGCGGCTGCTCAAGCCCAACTCTCTAACTTCCCTTCTAAAACATCGGTATTTAAACTTTTTCTCCTCAAGAAAGAATTTGCATTCTTGCACGCGCGCTACCAAATTTAACTATTCTGGCACTACCGATTAGGGGAATGAAGGCTTATAGGAAAATCTGAACTAAAATTTAAATTATTAGTTAAAATAAATATAAATCCCTACAACTATAACATAAAACGTTTATAGCATTTCTATAGAAGGCATGTTTCTCTGATTCTAAAATGCTGTGAATAATTAGACGTACACTTAATTTTAACATCATCATTTAAAATAAAATATCTCTGAGAGAAAATTAAATAAGTAAAATAAAAAAACTTAAAAATACGTAAAAAATATTTTCATCACCATGTATCGTATTTCCGCATGTATAAATAGTACCCTTAATTTTCCCCTCTTTTTTAATTCTCTTTTTCAAAATACAATAAATTCTAATGTAATAAATTTATAGTAAATTAAAGTCATTCGCATGTATAAGCCCGCAACCCTGATTTTCATTTGCTTTTTTGTGAGCAAACATATAGCATATAACACAAGAAACTATGGTAATTCTGTTTGCTAGTACCGAAAAGATTGCACTCGGCAAAATTCTTATGATGCATTATCATAATCTGATTCTTCTGGGCATTACTATCTGCATCTTAAAAGGAAAATGTATTTCACTTTAAATTTTTTTCTCTTTTGGACTATCCTTACATTTATCTCTCAGTAATATTTCACTTCCTAAAAGAGTTGGTGATACACATTTTGTTATTGAAGAAAATGCGTGAAATCGAAAGCTGGATGCTGAATGCATCCACAAAGAAATCTACACAAGAAAGCTCGAAAAAATAGCAGCTCAAAAACGTATTAGGTTTTCAGCGGTATTTGCGTGGAGATAAAAGTGCATATGACAGTCGAAGAAGTACAGTACATAAAATGTTTTTCAGTATCTAAAAAAGCAGCCTCCAAATACTTTTTACTATTTTAATCTCATTTATTTTAAACGAAATCTTATTATAGTTAACATGAATACAACTTTTCAATATCAGCTGTTTTTGAAAATCATTTAACTAACACTATATGAGTTACGTTTATTTATATTTACTCGTTAACTTATTCTCCCTAGAATAGACCTTAGCTGCGCAAGACAAAGCTGGAACTAATGTACTTGATTCTTATTCTGATATCACATCTCATTTGTTAACAGGGCGTTCAAGATCAGGGCCTAAAGCCCCAAATTATCGTCTATTAGCTCATAAAGAAACAACTTTGGGGAAAAAGTGTAGATTAATTTAGACGGGCCCATTTCGTTAAGTTCTGTAATTAGATTTCCATCAGTAAGATCTAGTTTCAAAATTAAATTTTTGTTAAAACGAATTATATAACGAACTCTGGCACTGCTCAAAATAAACCACGTTGTGCATTGTTAACGGAACCTAAAAAGCAAAGACTATCAGAAATATTACGCTATAAAGTACTTAATTCGTTTATATTCATTATATATAGAAGTCATGCGTTTTTCTGGCGTTTAGTTTTAAAAATTCACAATCATTTAAAGCCAGAGATGTTACGTATAGTTTGGTACTTAAGTTATTGATCAGTTACGTTTAAATGGCCTGTCAAAATATCGCTTTCGCCGCCTGGATTGATGTAGAGTTTAGCGATGCTGGCTCCCTTACGCTGGGCCTGATTTTGAATCTCGAAGTAGGTTTGGATGTTTTTAAGTGCATAGTGACTTTGGCACATGGGGCACTTAACATACGTGGAGAATCGAAAGTCCTATCGAGTGGTTTGGCGGTAGGAAAAGAGTTGCGGGAGATCCTAAGATACGTCTTGCGATTGATTCTTTTTCAAAATTGGGATGGAACTGGACAGAGGTGTACGGTCTCTTTTAAGACGTCCAAGGCCAACGACAGACACAATCCTGCACTCCTCGTCACGATAAAATTCCTAGAGGTGTTCTGATGTTCATGACAGACAACTGAGATAAGGTGACTCATACACCTTAAAACCCTTAAGATCTTCGAATATGTGACTGTTGCAAGAATTTAGATATTTTTTTATTTTTAAAAGCAATTACTTCCACCTTTTTACAGCTGAATACGTAATATAGCTGCTTTGGGAATTAGTAACCAGAAAGTTTGTGTTGTTACAAATAATTTTATAATTTAATCTGCTTTGTTACAAAAGTTTTTATGCGTTCTCTTCATGTTTCCACCTTGCGCGCATAATATTTTAAAAATGGTTAATGGTACATACTTGAAGTTTGATGGAATTCTTTATATGGGCAGTATCTTCTAACTGAACCAAAAATCTGATGGATATTTTAATATTAAAAAATTTATGCGCAAAAACATTACAGGTTTTTTTTAATAAAATACATTTTATTAACTCAGCTCCAAATAAAATAAAAATTTAACATGAAATTCTTAGGATTTTTGGTTCACAGTAGTTTACAAATGTTATAAATCTATATATTAAATATGGAATTAAATTATGCAACAGAATGTTTCAAACTGTGGGCGCAAGGTGAAAACATGACGTAAACGCATAAATATTTTGTCACAAAGCAGATTAAACTATAAAAATATTTGTGGCAACACAAACTTTCTGGTTATTAGTTCCCAAAGCAGCTATGTTATGTAGTCAGCTGCAAAACTTTGGAAGTAATTGCTTTTAAAATAAATAAAATACCCAAATTTTTGCAGCAGTCACATATTCGAAGATCTTAAGAGTTTTAAGGTGTATGAGTCCCCTTAACACAATTTTGCTTTTAATTTATCAAGACAGAATCCTAGGTTTTTGCATACTTTTACATAACAGCTTGTGAATGTTATTATATGCAACTAAATAACTTGACAAACAAAAGAATTTGTTCTTAGCAGACGAAGTGCAAACAAAGTTCAACTTATCACAGAATTCTCAAATTATTGTAGGTGAACTCTACATCGAAAAACAAAGGACTTAATAAATTAGACCAAGTCTACTTACTGAATTTCAAGGAAGGATAAATCACGGGCATAGTTTCCGCGTCCTTCCTTAAAACCTTAGCCTTTGCAAAATAGCGTTATGCTGAAACTTTTTGTGACAGTTAGCAGTCTCGATCACTCGCTAACTTCTTCTTTGGTTGTAGTGAAATTAATTCATCGATTTATGTGCATATGCTTTTCTCTGTTAAATTTCTATTCTTTCTGAGAGACGTGCTCAGATAGCGATGGAAAGACAGAACTTAACTAGAGTTGATTATTATAATAATAAGTGGAATTTTAAGGATATGCTTTTTCGTAGCTTTAAAAAATCTATATTACATATATTGAAAGTTTTCAGAATTAATATTACGCTCAAAGGGGCTTTTTTTAAACGCTTTGTGTGGTATCATTATCGATA